ATGTAAGAATAAAAATGGAGTTTTCGTTCAAATTTGTAGAGAAAACATTTCAAACATTGAAAATATTGTTTGGAAAGAGCTTTTTCACAATGAGTATTAATGTTTCTAATAATTAATTGAAAATTTCTATTTCTCAGAGAAAAATAAAAAATTATAAGAAATTAACTTCAACAAAGAAATACTTAAATGGTTTATGATTAAAAATTTCTTATCATACAATGTTTTTAATGTTTGTTTGGTTCTCCGAATTATTTTGTATTAATATATCCTCAGGATTTTCAGATCTTGATACTAATTCGTATAGTTGACCATGAAAAAACAAAGGTCTTTTGTAGTCAAATCTTAATTTACAAAAACTTTAACCTTGCGATTTATTGGTTGTCATGGGAAAAGCTAGAACTATTGGAAACTGTTTTCTGTCTATAATAAAGATAAATCATTACTGGTATTTAACGTGACAGTTGGAACAACCGCTTTATTACCAGACTTTCACTAGTTATTATTTCTACTTTTAAATTATATTTAAATAATTTTTTCATACGTTTTTTAGTGCCATTGCACAGCCCATTTGATATACTCAAGTTTCTTATTAAAATAACAATAGCATCTACTTTTAAATTTATAACATGTAGGTTTACCACCACATGTTATAAATTTAAAAGTAGATAATATTGTTATTAACATAACAATATTATCTACTTTTAAATTTATAACATGTAGCGGTAATCATTCATGTATATTTTTTAGAGTTTCTATAGAAAACTTTATGTTTATATTTTCATTAGGGCGATCTCTACCATTATAATTTTATAATCTATGCTTTTCGTTTAGTATAATTTAAAATTTCATTTTTTTTAGTATCCGAAAGTTTGTTATGAGTTGTTAGAATTACTATATTTAGGCAGTTACTTATACCCTCTCTATTAATTTGTTTACAATCATCATCGGTTTCACATCCCTGTGGAATTTCGAAAGACTTCATCGTTCTATTTTCAATGTCCATTAACAATAATCAAAGTTTTAAATCTGTACACTGCATATTGCTTTTCACTTTCATAATTTTAAAGAGTTCCCATACTTGTACTTTCACTAATCATAGAACTTTTACACCAATGCTTTATCAATGGAAGTTTTTGTCTTAAGTCGTCTCCTAAAATAAATAATTTTCCACTTAGCAAAATATCATTATCACATGAGTCATTTAAAATTTTATTTACTATGTTTAAAGCTTTTTTAGAGATCATTGAAGCTTCGTTCCAAATTATTACATATCCTTCTCGTAATTTTTTTTAATTAACTTTGTATTCTTACAATGTTATTTACATCTAATGGCGATAATAATGTTGTATGACTTTTCATTTCTTTAGGTAACAAAATTAAAGCAATTCCAAGCAAATCCAAGCAATTTCAAGCAAGCAATTGTTATTTATTGTGTTTTAAATCTTCAACAAAAAATTTGTTGGAGTGATTCTCAAATAGACTTATCATAAACATCTTCAGGTATTAAAAACCATGCAGAAAACTTTCTCAATAGATATGGCAGCATAGCAATACAAGCTTTTTTAAATATTTTTTATATTCGAGAGTCGTGTTCAACTTAACCTAAAGCAATAGCAGTATCTCTAAACGTACTGTAATGTATGTTATAAACTGTTTTCGAACTTTCAAAAGATTCACTTGCTTGATTCAGAATTAAAAAAAAAAAGCACTCAGAGTCCTTAGGTGACACTATTTTAGTCGCCCTATTGTTAAATTACGTCTTACTCTTTCCCTTCTAACCCAAGTTTTTACCGTCGAATTAAAGCAGTAATATTCTGGAATGTTCACGTATCTAATTTTTTTGCGAAACTATTTATTTCATTTTATTTAAACCAAGACGTAATGCTTTATCTTCTCCTTTATTAATACAATTGAAAATGTACTATATACTTTGAATAGATGCACAATACTCAACATTGATGTGGCAATTATATTTGGTTAACAAAAATGGATTGCATAGTACTACCATTGAATCATCAACTAAAATTTATTCATTACTTTTTTTGATTCTATACATGTGATTATCACAGCTATTGTCACTTTTTTTGTAATTTGGATATCTACTTCTGTAAAAATAGTATTTTTAGTCAATTTTTTGGAAAATTTTTTTTTTATACAAATTTTTGGATGACTGAGAAAACATAGAATATCTTTATTATAAGGTCCATGAAGCATGTGTTTTATAACTAATTTTTGTACTTGTGAATCAAGTGGAATTTCCACTGTAATGTATTTATCTATGTCTATAGTAGCAAGTAATTTATTGTTTGTATGCAATGTTACAATAATATGAGAATAAGGTAATCCTCCTTTTTTGAAATTTAATGGTATAAACGTAAGCAATAACTTTTGAAAAATATTGTGTTTAGTTATATCGTCCAACATAAATTTTAATTTTGCATGAAATAATCTAACAGTTACATTTGGTATATCATTCTAGGTGGTACCTTCAGGAACGTTTTTTAAAATTTGCTTTATTTCTAACCATTTAAGATGACATGTAACGGTAATAAAAGAATCAGGTCGTCCAAACTTTAGCATTATTACTGTTGCATTTTAATAATTTCATTCTATTGCTTTCTATTATAATATATGCATGCAAAAAAAGTTTGTGTGTTAATCTTCCAGCATAGAGTATAGGACTAAAAATTTTACTATTTGGTCAATAGAAATTTCGATATTAGTAGTATTGAAGCAACGTAAGATTTTCTGCTTTTATTATAAATTTTCATCATCAAGTGTACTCCATTCTTCATTTCCTACTGGAAATAATAAGGGAAATACCATAGGATCAATATGCTGTATCCAGTATACAGCATGAATAATGCAAGCTAAAAAAGCATTGATAAATCAGATGATAATAATTGCATAAATTTTTCCATAAAAATATAAAACAATATTCGTGAAGGCTTGCCACTTCATGATTTTAAATTAAAAATAGGTACAATAGTAATGTTAATTCAAAATTTAAGTATACTAGACGGTTTATATAATAGTACACGATTGCGAATTACTAAATTGTTGAAGTATAACGCAGAAGACGAAATAGGTACGGAAGAGAAAATTGGTAATAAAGTTTTTATTTCAAGAATTACATAATATACCGGAATTAATTTATCATGACCTTCCATTTTATATAGAAAATAATTCCCATTCGTTATAGCATTTGCTATGACTATGAGCAAGTCTCAAGGTCAAAGTTTTGATTATGTGGGATTACACTTGAAAAAACCTTTATTTTTTCATGGTCAATTGTACGTGGTTTTATCGAAATGTAAGAATAAAAATGGAGTTTTCGTTCAAATTTGTAGAGAAAACATTTCAAACATTGAAAATATTGTTTGGAAAGAGCTTTTTCACAATGAGTATTAATGTTTCTAATAATTAATTTATGATTAGAATAATGTTACATGTATAGACAAAATTTATTACCTAATAACACATCCCATGAATGTATTTATATATTGTTGTATACATCGTGTTTATATATTGTACCAATTTCAACATTCATTTAAAACAGAATAGGAATAGACCTAAGTTTTCGTGGTTTACTAGAGTTTTATAAGTTGACTTATAAGATGAGTCAACTTAATGCGAAACTTCCGCGGTTTGTATTAATGATGAACTTAATGTAATTTACGCTTTGCGCAGTGACTCCTTATGAATCAATTATGGCTTTAAATTTTTTCTTGACGATGAGATAAATCATAGCGATAAGAAAGTTTTGTCTTAACATAGCTTAGTAATAAAGCAGATTGGAAATAAAAGAATAATATATATGACACGATCACGTCTGTATACATATCAAGATCCGAGAAAGACGGTATGATCCCTGTCAGATTTTCCAAAAGTAGTGTAGGGGCGGTAGGGAGTCACGAAAAATAACGTGAGGAGGGGGGGCTGTGTTGGTATGTGGGGGTCTATGGGGAGTTTTGGAAAAAACTGCGATGTGTCAAAAAAGGGAGAAAATGATGGGTTTTTTCCTTATTTTGTGTGGGGGGCGGTGGGTGGGTGAATAGGTGTCTGTGGGAGGTAATGTGGAATGCTTCACTGAGATAAATATATAATATAGAAAGATATATATATGAGTGTGTGCATAGGAATCCGAAGGCGAACGATGAGACTTGAGCGCCACCGAGCTGCAGTATATATATGTATGTTCGTACGTACGTTTCTGCCGTTTGGGTGCCCAACCAAGGCACTTCTAAAAGAAATTTTTACTTCAAAACCTTGATCGTTTTTGAGAACGATCAAGCCGCGTGTTGTATGTAGGTGAAACTTGAAAACTTTTACCAAAGTCAATCCCCTGGCTTGTTCTTGTACCAGTGACCGTGCGGAAGGATAAACGCATTGCGTAATAATTGAATAGTGCTTACGCAGCCAGTCAAGGGTGCCAACATACATACACACAATCAGTTTCCTTAAACACCTTTTTGAGGGTCGCTTGGTATGCACGTACACGCTTGCTCTCTCTGTTCATTTTATTAATTTTAATATTCAAACTTGCCACAAATTTCCTACTAATTATGTAATTGTGGCGTCTGAGCTTAGATGGGTGTGAGTCCTACGTATGCATGATGACCAAAAAAGTGATTCACCAATTTATTGAAACAACAATGGTTTGCAAAATTTTTTTTTGCATTTGCACCAATGTCAAAGAATATTTTTCCCATTGATAATAAACGCTTGTAGATGAAAAAAATACTGAAGTACAAAAAATTAATATAATGAATTTTACTTTAAACAGTTTCTTGTAAGTATTTTTAGACGTACAATTTTAAAGAAAAAAATATCACGTTAAGGAAGAAACACTAATCACAAAAAAAAACTAGTTAACGTGTGCATTTATTCGACACTTTCTTGTTAGTGAACGTATGTTCTTAGATTTTACATGATCAGAACTTTGTACACATATATTTTATTTTAATCACTCACAAGCACATAAACATATTTATACTAACCATCTACTGCTTTTAATAGCGTTTCTTGTGTGCTAGAAGGAAAATGTCCAAGTTCAGATGCATCTGTAGTATTCATTTCTTGGGCTTTCAGAGTCTCTGGTGCCGTAAAACTCTTAGAACGTCTAAGACCATACAAAGACAAAAAAGACTGAGATTTCATTGGTTTTCCCGGATTTGAAGTTGCAGTTTTTATTTCCTGCTGTTCCATACTGAAGTGAACTCTATTAGATTTCTAAGACAAAAAAAGTTTATTGTAAATAAAATCATGTCCAATTTTTAATTCACATCATCATAATGTTCCAAAAACTTTAAATGTGTACAAAATCAAAATCTAGTAGTATTCGTTAATGTTGTGTCTACATAATAGAAACTCTTTGAATGGATTTACGTGCTCAATATAGATTCGAAAAAAATCTTTAATGAGTTAAAGTTGCTTGATTTACGTTCACTAGATTTCCGCTTGATGTAGAAGCCTTAATTATGTAGGGCTGGTGTACTACTGATGCTGTTATTAGAGGATGAAAGTCAACTGAATGATGATTTTGAAGACCTGGGGTGAGTTGATGCTGTAGTGGATATTGAAATGTTTGTGGTTGATGCAGCTGCTGGGTGTAGAAATATCGATGCACGTTACCTCTAGATTTGCTGTGTTGCAAAAAGTAAGGTCGTTCCATTGAACCTGAACAGGATCTAAAAATAAATTTTTTTGAATTATAAACGTTGAAAAATATTACACATGATAAATTACCAAGCAAATGTGTGGTTTAGTTGTTATGGTTTTGGGAAAGAAGCCTGATTGTTGATAAAAGACTCCATTGAAAACTAAAAAAAACAGTTGTCATCTAAGTAAGGGAAAAAGCAACAAAACCTTCAAAAACAGCTTTAAAAACTTTTTGCATGTTTTTCTATGTATGAATTGACCAGGAAAGAATTCTTTTCTGATTTTTCTAGACAGTTATTAAGAAATAAGCATTTGAAGTAGTCGAAAAATCACATTTTGACACATTTTGATTCATTGGCAATAGGTTTGGTAAAATGCAGAAAAAATACTTGTAATTGGATGGCCATCAATTTTCATCAAAATTTTATCTCTTCTTTGCTACTCAAAAGACCATAAAAATCAGTATCTTTCGCTGTACATCAGATCATATTTTATAATCCATTCGTTTTATTTAATGAATTTTGGTGGATCTTTTGAGGCAAACTTCCAAATGAAAATACTACACGTATTTTGTATGGTGACGTTTCGTCGACTAAAGCATTGATCACTTCAGGCTTCATGAACAAATTTAACAACAAATTAATTCAAAACTACTTAACTATAAAAACAAAGTTAAGCACACAGATTCTATACTAAAACAAACGCTGAAAGGAATTGTTTAACGTAGCGAGATTTGCTCACTCGCAAGTCAAGTAGGCGAAAGCATTCACATTACACGAAGTTATTAATTTACATTACAGCACATATATTTACTCAGTTATTAGAAGTAAATGTATTGAAAGTAATAGACATGATCAATAACGTATTTATTTGAAAAAAATTATCAAAGAAGGGAGAAGAGATAATAAAAATGATTACAAAACCTAATCTGCTGTATTTCTACATCAAATTGTAATTATAAATTCACTTCTTAAAATAATCAATTAATGATAGTATGAATACAAAAATTTCCTTGAAAAAATACAAACAACCAAAAAAAGTAAAGAAAATCTCATCGTCTGTTGATGAAAGTATATTACGAGCTTTCAAAAATAAAAACTTTTACTGTACAGCATGAAAGTTTGAGATGCTGAGAGGGACTGTGCTGACATTCAAATAATGATTTTTAGTGCTTGTCTATGTATACAAGCAATTTCATGAAGATGTTCAAATTGTATTGACAGCAAATGATTGTTGGTCTCCTACCATGTATTTAGAATAAGAGCGTTTAAGTAGCAGTTTAGTTTATTTTTCCATCAAATATTATATAAAAAAAAAATAATAATAAAAACTTATCTTTTTTAAGAGTATCTTTATTTCTTCACAAATTATCTGTACCAATTGTATGTTTTACTTTCATATCACCAATAATCCATAATTATACAAAATGTACCTGAAACTTCCTTTTCCGTAATCATTCATGTTACATTCTCAATTTTTTTACTTTTTTTTATTTTTCATTTCAATTCATCTAAAAAAATTACCATGCATTTTTGACGAGCTTAAAAATAAAATATACTTTGTTCTTAAGAATTAATGATTTCAACTTGTCTTCCCAACCTGTTTCAACAATAGATGGATAATCCTATCAAAAATAATATTTTTCATGCTCCAGCTGATTGTTACACCCCATGTTATATACTTAATATTTATTACTTCGATGCAGCCAGGTTCGTTCTCAAATTATGAAAAGCAAGTGTTTAGTAGTTTTTAAACGTCGAGGTGTATATCTGTTTCTGCAATCCCTTGACCTGTAACTCACTTCATTTGAAAGGAGTTATCGTCGCAAAACCTAAACTACGCGTGTAATCCTCAAACAAAGTAATAAGGCACTTATTTTACATCATCGATTTGTACTAATACACGTAAGAGTCAACAATTACAATATTCATTACTGCCTATGATTACCAAAGAATATCGTACACAGTTTTGACATCTACTTGTACTAAAATGTAAAGTTCAAGATATCAGCAATTTTTACCATCAATTGCTGTAGGTATAATTATTGCATCAAGATTGTGCTTGTATCAATCGATAATAATTAGGTAAAGCTCTGGTTGGTCGTTTAGATCCCCAACCTGACGTGTTCTCCTTGAATGCAAGAGTATTAAAACTCCTTGCACATACCAATATTCGTCTTTTTTCTTGCATCAAGTGCTCTAAAACAGCTATAAAGATTGGAGAGTAAGTCAAATTGCATCTTTGTAGCATGTTTTTGAAGAAAATGTGAGACTTACTTTGACGTAAGACTAGGCCATTGTAAAGTTTCCTAAGCAGTGAAATAGAGATAAAGGAGAAAGAAAGAATCATTCATTTGGGGTTTGCCGTTTAAAGCAGCAGCCTAATTATCATCATCGCCACGAGTATTCTCATTGTTGCGATCAACCTTATAAGATCTTGCAACTGCATACACGCAAGCAGTGGCTAATCAACGATTCTAGAAATACGATAAGAGCCTCAGAATAGTTTAAACTTGTTAAAACATTGTAAATACAAACCTTAAAACTTATAATTTATATTTTTGTTATATTTGAATACATTATACTTTGTTAAATTTATTAAATTAACAGATAAAACATACCTTAGTTGTTAATTAAATGTCTTTTTTAAATTCATGTACGTAGGAACTAGGAATTCCACTTTATAAAAACATAACTATAGCTTTAATTAATAAATCAAATACGAAACAAAAACAAACAGACTAATGCATGACAAAGACCCTTACAAGCACGTAAGGTAAACGACAAACACAATATGCTGCCACTGCATTACATTAGACAGACACTTATACAGTAGGTTAACGTCACTTCGACGTACGACACACCAATACCATTCCAATTATGTCACACGGTAAAACGTAATACCGCAACGCTGAGAGAATGATTTAAAAAAAAGCATACTATAAAATTTACGAGTTCCACCTATCACTTTTAAGTTTGGACGTAACACAATTACAACATTGTGTAAGGAGATATCTAAATAAAATTTTTTTCAATAATTAAGAGGTGTATTTTCTGATGAAGGTATAATAAAATTGATATCATAAACAAGTAATGCTTCAGCTTAAGATACCAGAAAAGGACCAAATTATCGTTACGTGCCCGTGTCTCACTCGTACATTTAAAGTTTTAACGGCACATTGAGGGTGTATTGTAAGACATGCACGAGGATGTAGGTAAGTTGGTATGTATACTGACAAAAGTTTTGTATATAGTAGTGAAAGTAATCTTTTAATATTCAGATTTAATTTTTATTAATAAATCCTCATAAAAGGCAACGTTGCACACTATCAATAATAAATTAAAATATTAATTACTTCGCATTGCACGGTAAATCATAATGCTATTACTTTTATACTAATGACTCCCTTAATCTTGCTAAAACATTGCAACAGTAATGCCGTAAGTAACTGTATCATGAAATATATTATATTAATTCTAACTCTTGAATTTAACTAATCAGGAATAAATGTACACAATGTTAACGTTAGAGCAAATCCTTATGGCTTAGAGAAGCAAATTGGTGCCAATGTTAATAATAATCTGAAAGCAGGAATTCAAGTTGGTACATAAATTGCACAACTTGGTATATAATTGAGCATATTTGTGATAGGAAACTTATATAATTGCTTGCAAGTACAAGTCAGCATAAATAACAATAATGTAAATGAACACCCACAATGCAACGTAGATACTGAGGGACATTGACACCAAGAAGTCAATGCCAGTGCTGACGAAAATTCTGAAGCAGGACTTTAACATGGTGTAGACATTGAACAACATAATTAATAATAATAATAATGTACTATATTTAAGATTCAATCTTTGAACGTTACTGAATATTGATGTGTACGACATCTATAACTTATACGTAACGACGCTGAGAAAAATGAACGTGAAGAAGTTAACGAGAATTTAGTGGTAGGACCTTAAGATGACGTGGATGTTAAAAAAAAGTAAATAATAATTGATATATTTCATAGTTAGTAAAGAACTACGTTTTTTTTAACTGATAAATTTATTTTAAAATATTAATTGTTGTATAATAATTGTCGGTTGGCTTCTTAGTAAGACATCAATTAAGTGAAACCATCATATTACCAGAATGTAGGCTTATATTACTTTGATTTTGCTATATAAGTAGTATCCTATAGTATTCACTGGTGTATACTTTCATCTAAAACGAATTTGAATATCCTCATTTCGTGTATAACATATACCACCTTTAACATACTTTCCTAGTACCCAGTTTCCCTACTCTTACTTTTCCTCTCTATGTGATATCTGTATCGTTAACCCAAGCTCACCGACGGAGGTTCGGTCGTTTTTCCTGAGGGGGGGGGGTGCGCGGGTGTGCGGAGGCTCCCATTAGACACCACGTCAAAGTGAGTTGTACTAACTGTGTATGAAAGCGTCCGCCCACTACATCACGGTTAATTTAACTGCGTTCAACTCGGCAGTGCTCAAAAGTCAAAATATTTAATGTTATGAACAAATTACGAGACATGCTTTAAAGCAGTTTGTTTCTGATAGTTCAAGTAAAAAAACTTGGAAACATGTTGTTTGCATGACAAAAAATAACGTAAAAAAAGTAAGAAGAAACTCAACTTTCGTCAACGAACGTGTGTTATGAATTTTCGAAAAACAACCTTTTTTTACACAGCATTATAGTTTGAAGTCTTAAGAAAGGCTGGGCTAAGTTCCAGATCATGGTTTCCAGTTAAAAAAACTCTAGAAGCAATTTTGCAAAGACGTCTCGCTCCATGTGAAAAAATCAGTTGACAGCTGACGATGCTCGGTTCTCTCCCATACACTTAGCATAAGACCTGCTTGCGACTTTGTTTACGTTTATACAGAAATTTCTTCCAAATGCCTGATAAGGTGCACAATTTTTAATACAATAGTTTTCCTTAGAAATTAAGCTATCTATTTAAACTTTTTTCTCATCATAGACTAATCTCTAACCACAAAATTTGTACAACAGAGGCTGA